CCGTCATTGTTGTTTGGCGGGTCCGGGCTGGGGATTCGAACCCGCCACCTTAGGCGTACGTGGCTGGCACCTTAGCCGGTTGAGCTATAGGTGCCGAGCCCCGGACTTTATTTCTTTAGGCTAATCTTATGATGGCTATCTCACTTTGCGGACTTTCTTTCTCTTCTATAGTTTAAGATAAGAATTCAGGATGTTAGGATTATTGATCAATGTGATGTACGTGACTTGCTCCTAATAAAGGGGAGTGGAAAATAAAGACATTTTGCTACATGCCATCTAAGAGTATGTAGTCGTTTCTTGCTTTCAAACAATTCTAGGAGCGAGCTTGCACTCGCAGCCAAGCCGTCCTTCTCTCCCATGAGAAAGTAAATCACCTAACAATGTTTGTACCAGTACAACTCACAATTTTGAAGTTGTGGAAACAACTGAAGTGCCCATCAATCCATGAGTGGATTAATAAAATGTGGTGGCCAGGTGCAGTGGCTCATGCTTGTAATTCTACACTCTGGGAGGCCGAGGCAGGTAGATTGCTTGCTTGAGCTCAGGAGTTTGATACCTGCCTGAGCAAGAGCAAGACCCTGTCTCTACTAAAAATAGAACAATGGACCAGGCAAGTGGATTGCCTGAGCTTATAGGTCTAAGACCAGCCTGAGGGGGTGGCGCCTGTGGCTCAGTGGGTAGGGCGCTGGCCCCATAAACCAAGGGTAGCAGGTTCGAAACTGGCCCTGGCCAAACTACAATAAAAAAATAGCTGGGTGTTATGGCAGGTGCCTGTAGTCCCAGCTGCTTGGGAGGCTGAGACAAGAGAATCACCTAAGCCCAGAAGTTAGAGGTTGCTGTGAGCTGTGACGCCAGAGCACTCTACCAAGGTTAATAAAGTGAGACTCTGGGCTTCGTGCCTGTGGCTCAAAGGTGCCAGCCACAAACCTGAGCTGGCAGGTTTGAATCCAGCCTGGGCTGGATTCAACAATAACGGCTGCAACCAAAAAATAGCCGGTGTTGTGGTAGGCACCTATAGTCCCAGCTACTTGGGAGTTGGAGGCACGAGAATCACTTGAGTCCAGGAGTTGGAGGTTGTTGTGAGCTGTGATGCCACAGCACTACCCAATGGGACAGCTGGAGACTCTGTCTCAAAAAAATAAAAATAAAAAGACCAGCCTGAGCCAGAGCAAGACCCCCGTCTCTAAAAAATAGCCAGGCATTGTGGAGGGCACCTGTAGTCACAGCTACTTGGGAGGCTGAGGCAAGATGATTGCTTGAATCCAAGCATTTGAGGTTGCTGTGAGCTGAGATGCCCAGCACTCTACTGAGAGTGACCAAGTGAGAATCTGTCTCAGAAAAAAAAAAAAAAAACCTAAAAATAGAACAATTAGTTGGGCATTGTGATGGACGCCCATACTCCTAGTCATTGGAGAGGCTGCGGCGTGAGGATTACTTGCTGTGAGCTCTGATGATAACCATGACACACGATCCAGGGTGACAGAGTGAGACTCTGTCGAAAGGAAATACTAGGCTCGGCGCCTATAGCTCAACCGGCTAAGGCGCCAGCCACATACACCTAAGGTGGCGGGTT